TCATCACCCTCAGCGCCTTGCGGCTGCCACCGCAGCTCAGTTCCCAACGTGACAAATGATTCGGGTCTCCCCAGATTCTTGTCTCTTGTGTCACGTAAGCGAACTCAAAATAGCCATGCGGCCTGTGCTGACCTGGGACGTATTTGGTTTTCCTAACACTGGTCCCCAGGGCATGGACAAGGGGTGTGTTCACCACCACCCCTGCTTGGCCCCTGCTTTGCCCACATGCCTTCCTTCCCGTCTTGGGCCAGGCTTCGTGTCCACGGTGCTCCCGCTCGCTGTGTGACCTCGGACAAAGCACATGGCCTCTCTGAGTCAATTTCCCCAGAGCAGCAGGAAGGGAATTGCTGTGCTGCTCTTGGCAGGAGTTTCGAGGCTCAAGTGTCACAGGGATTTGAGAATTCTTTGTCATCTTAACACACTGCATTATTTTTCTCCCAGAGATGTTATAGAGAGAGAACAGGAAGAGGTATTGAGGCCATACTGTGTGTCCCGTCTCACTGCAGACCCCATTTTATGGGCGTAGAAACCAAGGCCCAGCGAGGTGTTGGGGCCGCTGGAGCTCACGAAGCTGGTGGCTGGGAGGGGTGTGAACTCGGATCTGAAGGATTCAGGGCCCCTGCTCTTCCCACATCACCACGAGGCTGGGTGATTCTGACTTTTCCTCCACGTGCTTTTAGAAATCACTTGACACTGTTACAATGAGCACCTTTTGTATCAGTCAACAGTGCCTAGGTCAGTCAGTTCCTGGCCTGCAGTAGGTGCCTAATAGACGTGTGGGTGAGTGAGTGAATGAATGAATAACATCCACAAAGCTATCTTTAGAAAGAACCAGGTGGGTCCCTGCTCACTGCTTATGCAGGTAACAGGAATCCCAGCCCCTTGCTGGGCAGTGGGCCTGATATACCCAGGAAGGAAATGAAAATGACAGGAAGAGTGTAGAGCCGGCCCAGGGTGCCCGGCCTGTGATGGTCAGGGCCTCCAGGCTGTGAGGGTGTCAGGGGCCCTGTTGGAACCACCCATGCGCCTGAACAGCCTCAGCAGAAAGTCTGTGTTACTTCCCCTCTAAAACAATGTGGGAACTAAACACGGACGTGGTTGGCACTTGTCCCAAAGTAACATAGCTCGGGGCACACGTTTGGGAGCCGAGGGGGACATTTCTGACATTCAAACCAGCTTTGGTGCAGCCTCCCGGTGGGTATCCTGGGAGAAAAAAAGCTCTCTGTTGACAGCACGAGCTTCCACCAGTGGCCCTGGGACGACATGAAGTGACCCTCAGGCTGAGCCACTCAGTGTCCCCACCAAGAGGACGCTTTTCTCCACTGCAGGTTCCAAGGGACAGGGCGGGCAACAAAAGCAACATTGGCAATGCAGCTGCGAGCTGATGGGCGGATTCTTCATTTATTTATGGTGTGTGGGTGGGTGGAGGGGGTGGGAGAGAGGACACTGTCCCCTTATGAATCTCAGGTTTGTTTTCTTGCCTGGGGGCAGGGCAGGGACTATGTTCCTGCCAAGGACCCCCTTTCTCAACTACTTTGCAATCCGGGGGCTTGGACTCTGCCCTGTGGCTTCCTCCGGGCTGGCCTCACTTGCAGGAGGAAGCCACTGTTTTTATGACTTTGCACCATAATGCAAGCCCGCTACAGCTCGGCCCTGTGTCCTGCCTGCCTGATCTGTGTCCTGCCTGCCTGGGGTTTATCCCACCTTGAGTGGGTCCTGTGCTCCTGGACTCAGCTGATGGCGGGCCACGGCTGTTTTCAGACATGGTGCCTCCAGCCCATTGGGCAACGCAACTTTGGGAGGAATGTCATGGAGCCCCTCCAGCCTCAGTTTCCTCATCTGTCATGGGGAGAGTGACAGTTGTCTTGGTTCACAGAGCAGAGGTGAGAACTAGATGAGAATTGTGGTGTGGGAGATGATTTTAGGGGCACAGGAATTAACATTCAAACAAAGCCTCACTTGTCACCTATTGTGATAGGCAGTCTTCTAAGGTGACCCCCCCCATGTCCCCACTTCCTGGTGTACTGGCTGCATTCTCTCTCCTGGAGTGGGGCTGGACCTGGTGCACCTCTAACCAGTAGAACAGAGCGAAAGTGATGGGATGCTGCTTCTGAGATGAGGTCGGGAAGGACTGTGACTTCCATTTGTTAGTCCTCTTCTTCTGGCTTTTCTCGATTATTCCTTCTGCTGGAACCAGCTGCCATGTCGTGAGCTGGCCTGCGGGGAGGCCACGTGGCAGGGACCTGAGGGCCACCTCCAGGCACTGGACTTCAAGGAACTGAGGCCCTCAGTCCAACAGCCCATGAGATGAGTCCAGCCAACAGCCAGTGAGTAAGTCTGGACTCACCTCGAGCCTTGAGCTGGCTGCAGCCTCGGCCCACACCATGGCTGCAGCCTGGAGACCCAGAGCCAGAGGCACCCAGCTAAGCCACATCCAGATTCCAGCCTAAGAAAAACTGGGAGATAACAAGCGTGGTATTAAGCCACAATGTTTTGGGGTTATTGGTTATGGTCATATAGAGGCCAAGTTGGCATCTCTGGTTTCACTCCCAGGCCAGCACTGCTCCCTCGACACTGCCTCAGTCAGCGCCCCAGGGCCCAGCAGACCCACACATGGGACAGCAAGCCTGCCGTGAGGACCCAGCTACCCAGAAGGCCCCACCAGCACTTTCTCTCCTTGCAGGCACCCCTAAGTACTAGGGTGACTGACTTACTGAAAGCTGTGACGGACACAGCCTAGATGTCATCTGTATGCACGCCAGGGGCAGTCTCTCTGTACCAAGGACACCATGGCATCTGAGGGCATCTTCAGTGCCCTCCTGCTGGACCATGCTGGGTCCCCTCCCCCATAGTTTATTTCTTTCTCCCCTTTTGTGAGAGCTCCTTCTGTTAGCCACCCAGCCCCCACTGCATCCAAACCAGCCTTGACACCATGAAGTTGGTGTAAATGCTTACACTGTGCTGAATTCCACTTGCACCTCTGTGAGTCTATACCCAACTCTCAAGGGGATTCTTTAACCGCAGTAAGACAAGCTCTCGGGGGATGGGCCATTTTTGCAGAGAGCTGCGTGCATCTATTTCCTTTTTTCATAATAAAAGTACTTATTTTAGTCAAGTTTTAAAATGCATGCTCCTTGTTTAAAAAAAAAATCGAATCCATGAACACATCCTGTGATTTCTCTCTACCCTCCTGGGATAATCACAGTCTTGCTCTCCAGAGCGGCATCATCTTTTAAATACTTGCCAACTAATTTCATTGTTATTTTAATTGGCAGCTCTGCGCTCCAGTGAGGTGCTTCCTAATTGATATTTCTTCTTTTGTGAATGTCTGGCTCATGGTCTTTTCCCCTTTCCAATCTGAGCAGAAGTCAGTCTTTTTTTTTTTTTTTAACTGAGTTTTCAGAGCTCTGTGCGAGGCAGACTTTTAGCCCCCATGACCTTCAACTCCTGGCATCATGCCTGTGGTTATGGTAGGTTAGAGGCAAAAGGGACTTTGCAGATGTCATTCAAGTTACTAATCAGCTGATCTTAAATACTGTAAGGAGATTGTCTGTAAGGGTTATCTGATGTGCTCAGTGTAATCACATGAGCCCTTGAAAGCAAACAGATGTGGCAGACAGAAGTCAGAGACAATGAGCATCTCGCAGTATCTTGAAGCATCTCGTTTGGAGCATGACAAGGGTCCAAGGCGCTCCTGCTGGCTTTGATGATGGAGGGGGCCGCGTGCAAAGAAACGGTGACCTTTAGGAGCTGAGAATGTCCCCCGTCAATATCCAGCAAGAAATGGAGACCTCAGTCCTAGCCCCGCGGCAGCGAATCCTGCCAGCCACCTGGATGAGCCTGTCCCAGGCTCTGACACCCTGACTTTGGCCTTATACGGTCCTCAGATGAGAACCTGGCCCAGCTGCTGGACTCCTCACCTCCAGGTCTGAGAGAATATACAGGAGTAAGCTAAATTTGTGGTCATGTGTCACAGCAGCGATAGAAAACAAGTTCTTTCTATATTAAGGTTGCAAACACTTTTTTTTTTTTAAAGATTTTTTTTTTAATTGGGGAATTGGGGGGATGGGAACAGTGCTGGGGAATTGGGGGAAGGGGAACAGACAAGTTGCTGTCGTTTTGTTCTTCAATCTAGTTGTGGAGGATGTTGCTTCACTGGCCCAAGTTGGCACCATCATTGCTTTCTTCTCTGGCAAGGCAGATCAGTCGCCGGCTTCTGGACGGCCGCTCACTGCGGCTGCTGGCCGCTCACGCTGGCTGCTGGCTACACACGGTAGCTTATGGCAACTCACTGCCACAGGGAGTGCAGCCTACGCCGTCGCCGGCGACTCATGGCAGCCCAGCTCCAGCCAGGTTGAGCTGCTGTTCAGCATCTTAGCTGTGGAGGGCAGTGTCACTGGCCCTCATATGTGGGATTCGAACCAAGTGTCACTGGCCCTCATATGTGGGATCCGAACCGGGGCCCTCTGGCATCCCAAGCGAATTCTTAACCATCGCGCCACTCGGCCGGCCCTGCAAACACTTTTTATACATGTTGTAAATATTTTTTCAAGTGTGTCATTTGTCTTTTTAAACTTTACCCTCAATTATGTTTAATCCTCCTAATTTCATGATCCTAGTTCCATGTAGGGAGGTGTCATTTGCGGTCACCCCCACGTACCCAACACTCACGCAAAACAGATTCCTGGGCCTTGTCCCCAGAGTTTCTGATTCAGCAGGTCTGGGAGGCCCTAGGAATTTGCATTTCTAACCAGTGCCCAGGTGGTGCTAATGCTGCGGGGTCGGAGCCATTCTTTGAGAGCGCATTCCTCCCTGCTCTCCGAGGGTCCTTAGGGCCCCTCACTGGTGGAAGTAAGTGAGCCCCACCTTCTGAGAGGCGGGGCCTTTGAAGCCCCGCCTCCATACGCGAGACCTCCGTCCTCATTGGTTGTTAGCGAAGGGCATTCCCCTACGTCACAGAGCTGGCCGCTCCTCCTCCCGAACTTCAGGGGAGGGGACACTGCGCCTGCGCAGTGGAGCTCGGCGCTCTCGTCCAGAGTTTCTGTGAGGGTCCCCGCGGCACGCGGCGACCCCATGGCCGAGTCGGATCCTCTTTTGAGCCGGGACCGCGGCGGCAGCGGCAGCGGGAGCGGCCGCGACTGCCCGGCCGGCTTACCCGCTTGTCGCGGCGTCTTAGTCGGCCCTGGTGAGCGGCGGCCTGGGGAGGGGACCGAGCCGCGTGGGGGTGGCGCGTAGGGGTCCTGCCGGCCCGCGTCGCTGCTGTCACTGCGGGCGCGCCGCAGCCGGCCGGGGTCCGAGCGGGCCCAGGCGGTGGGGGGCGGAGGGCGGACCAAGGCGGACCCCGGCCTTGGCGCGGAGTCGGGGACGCCGGCAGCGGTCAGGCGTTGCGAGGTCTTGCCTGGCCCGGACCAGCCTGGCGGAGGGGACCCCGCAGGCCTTGCCCAGCCCGGAGCCAAACAGCCGGAGGAGGGCAGCCGGCCCTCTGCAGCCCCGCGGAGTGCCCCGGGCGGACCCACACCACTTACTTTCGGTGGTTCGACTTGGTGACGCCTAGGGAGGCAGCTGTGCCGTTTTTCCCGGTTCTTACGGGGGGAAAACTGTGGCACAGAGAGGGGGGTTCTCCTACCCGAGGTCACACAGCCAAGAAATGGCCGAGGTGGGATTCGAGGTGGGATTCGAAACGAGGTGGGAGTGACTTTCGCTCCACCTTCTCATTCCTAGACCCAGGAGGCTCCCCAGAGGCCAGTCCCCACCAGCTTGGGGTCGGGGCAGCCCCCCCTCCCCAGTCCAGGGCAGCTTCCTCCCTTTGCCCTCTTCAGCTCCCTCCTGCCCTTCCTGTTTAGCCGCAGAGAGAGATTGCTGAATCCGAGGAGTGTGGGAGGGTGGAGGCCGTCCCTCCCTGGCGGGCACCAGAGGGACCGGGTGCTGGCTTAAGGACGGACGAGCCGCAGCTGCATTTTACAGAGGAGAAAACTGAGGCCCAGAGTCTCTGGACCCGTCCAAGGTCACAGCCCTGGGATCTGCTGATGCCAGCGTTAGCACACGCTGGGCGCTTCTTGTGGGGCCGCCTTCCCTTGTCCAGGAGGGATCTGTGGTGCCCAGCCATGGAATATCAGTGGCGGGTCCCTGACGGGAGACGAGAAAACTAGAGGCCGAGGTGGCCACATGCCTGCCCATCTTATAAACTGTCCTTGGAAAGTTCGACATCCAGCCGAAGAGCCCTGGACAGGAGCACCTGGTCGCATTCAGGGGCCACGGACTCCGTGTCTGGAGGTCTGGGTGCCTTTCTGGTGCTGCCACTTCCTGGCCGTGTGACTTCGGCAGGTTGCCTAACCTTTCTGAGTCTCAGTAAAGGGGCATAGTTATAGGTGCTGTCCTGAGGGGCACTGAGGATTCAGAGAGAATCCAGCAACACCCTCAGCCCAGGGCCAGGCCTGCCTGGGAATCTGGTGCCACGGTTCTGATGGCTGTTCTGGGAGGAGCATCATGAGTATTGCAGGTCCCAGCCCTGTACAGACAGGGTCAGGGCGGGGGAGGGCGCTTCGTCCTGATGCTGTGGCCTCAGGGAGGGCTTCTGGAAATGTGAACAGCCTCCCCGCAGGGGGCAGTGGGCACTGAGAATGGCTCATTCAGTCTGCCCAGCTCTCCTTACAGGGGCTCCTAGATGGGGCCCTGTGCTCAGGGTTGCATGTCCCAAAGTCAGATTCCCCTACCAGCAAAGGTGGGGAACTGCCACTGCTGAGTGCCCCGTGGACCCCAGCGGACCCTGCGGTCAGGTCCACCTAATGACCCATTACCACAGGGTGAGGATAGTTGTTTTCTCTTTTTCTTTCTCTTACTGGTAATGAAAAAGTCGAGGGATAAGGGACTGCTATGCTGTAAAAGGGGCTTTTTAATAATAATAATAATAATAATAATAATAACATGTTATGAAGTTTTGGGCACAGCACTTTAGCTACAGTAACCCATTCAATCTGCACATCAGTCCTGTGGCATAGGGTCTTCGAGGAACTGAGGCACAGAGAGGTTAAGGGGCTTGCCCAGGGTCACACAGCGAGCTGGTCAGGGCTCCACCCAGGATGTGCAGTGTGTAGCCTGGAGCAAGAGGGAGAGGGGGCTTCAGACCCGGATGTTGGGGAGGGGAGGCTTGGGATAGGGAGACTGGTCCAGGGCTGATGTGGGATGCAGTGTTTGGGCCCCTGTTGTCCTCTGCTCTGTCCCCCTTGGCATTTCCACCTGCTGTGGCCAGTGGGGTGCCCGGGGTGCCCACAGGTGCTTGCCACCCAGGGTGATGATTTCCTGGATCACCAAGGTGGAAGACAGTACTCCTGGTGGGCCTCACAGCCTGGGCCAGGGCTTGGAGGCCTTGCAGAGCTTGGCCTTGGGGGAGCCAAGTTCAGGGTGAGTGGCATGAAGGGCACAGGATGGAGGAAGCAACAGGAAAGGAGGCTGGTGGGCAGAGGTGTGTGCCCACAATGCCAGGCTGGGGGTGGAGCCTTTCTCCTGGAGCAGCGGGGACTCACAGGAAGCTGTGATGTGCTCATGAGGGTTTGTGACAAGATCCCTCTGGCTGCTGCCGGATGGGGAAGGGCGGCTGGCGTTGGGGTCCTCCTGTGAGATGAGACATGATGACATCAGAGTTCCTTCCTAGTTCTCAGTATTTGATGGAGAGGCATGTGGCACCTCAAGGTTCTAGCCCTCCACTGTATGTGTCAGTGTTAAATCTGTGATCTCCTTTGATGGAGCGTGGCAGGCAGTGCCGACCATCTTACCATCGAGGAAACAAAGGCTGCGTGGAGGCCGGTGGTGGGACGGGCACAGGGGCAGCCGCAGCCTCCGGTGTAGTGAGCACGCTCTGTGTGCCAGGCTGGGCCTGGGGCTCCTGTGCCCACATTGCCCCTCTGGGGGCTGAGCTGGGTGCCCATTAACACCCTGTTTGACAGGGGTGATGGGTGAGAGAGTTTAAGCCCTCGGCCTGTGGCCGCCGAGCCAGTGGTGGGGGAGCTGGGGTCTGAACCCTCTGGGTCTGGTTCTAGGTCCCCCTCTGTCCTTGGGGCGGGAGCCGTGGGCCTGGAGCACTGGGCACGCTATGAAAAGACCCTTTATCTGTTCAGACCCTGTCCTTCACGGGGCACCACGTGCGCGAGCCGGGTGTGGACCTGCAGCAGGGCGAAAGGGATCTTGTTCGGAGCCTTGGGAAAGGCAGGGTCTTTCATCGATCTCGGTCGTCCTGTGGTGGGTGAGTGTCATGTGATCCCCCTTCACCCAGTGTGTCCTCTCTGTCCGCAGGTGCCAAGGCCGGGTGGGATCTGTGCTTTGACCAAGCTGTGGTCTTCATCGAAGATGCGATCCAGGTGGGTAGTGCCTTGCTCTCAGTGGCTGGGCCTGGACTTGTGTCTGGGGCTGTGGGGACTGGGTGATGGCCGCCCCGATGACCCCTTTACTCCCTGTGGTCCTGAGGCTAAGGCCGGGGTTGGCAGGCCGTGTAGTCATCATAACCGTGATGGCCCGGCCTCTGGCACCATCTCCTCGAGTCCTCCCTGAAACGGGGGTGCTGGGTACTGTTCTTTTGGATTTTTTAATTTTTAAAAAAATTTTTAAATTTTTTATTGGGGAATTAGGGGATGGGAACAGCGCTGGGGAATTGGGGAAGGGGAACAGACAAGTTGCTGTCGTTTTCTTCAGTCTAGTTGTGGAGGACGTTGCTTCACTGGCCCAAGTTGGCACCATCATTGCGCTCTTCCCGGGCGAGGCAGATCAGTCGCCGGCTTCTGGACGGCTGCTCCTGGCGGCTGCTGGCCGCTCACACTGGCTGCTGGCTACTCACGGTAGCCCATGGCAACCCACTGCAGCAGGGGCTGCAGCCTACGCCGTCGCCAGCGACTCACGGCAGCCCAGCTCCAGGTCGAGCTGTTGTTCAGCATCTTAGCTGTAGAGGGCAGTGTCACTGGCCCTCATATTTGGGATCCGAACCAGGGCCCTCTGGCGTCCCAAGCCAGCTCTTAATCAACGTGCCACTCGGGCGGCCCTGGGCACTGTTCTTTTGAGTCCCCCGTCATTCACAAAATTGATTTTCCACCTACTGTGGGTCTGTTGTTTACCACCCCATCCCAGGTCCTATGAAAGATACCCAAAGGTGGCAAGACCATCCCCTACCTGCAACTGGCACACAGGTTCAGTTAGGGAAGTAGAAAATGGAGCTGAGCAGTGCCCACGTTCGGAATTAGGCTGGAGGCATCCTGGAGGGTGACACGGTTGCACTGGGGGTAGAGTGGACCTCACACGGAGGGCACAGCTTTGCATTCAGAAAATGAGTGTCTCTTCAGTGGGGACACTGCCTGTCCTGGGGGTCTGGCCCTCAGGGGGCTCTCTGTGTGCTGGGCAAACCTTGCAGCTTGGGACAGTGTGACTTTGCTGGGTCACCAGGGAGCACCTTGTCCACGTGCTGAGTTGAAGCCCTCCCTGCGATCTACGGCCTGTCTCCCTGCCTTGGGCCTGTTGTGGGGTGAGAGGGGTGCCCTGCATGTGGCTGGCTATGTGTGTGATGCCAAAGGGACCCCCACTCATGCTCCCGTGTGGCCTTTTACTTTTAGTATCGCTCCATTAACCACCGCATGGACGCCCGGTCGATGTGGCTTTACCGATGCTATTACTCGGACACGTGCCAGTGGTGAGCATGCACGCGGGGTTCCCGCAGCCTGGCTGGGTCAGGGAGGCTGGCCTCAGGGTCCTGGCAGGCTCCCTGTCCCCCACGGTGGGGAAGGAGGCACTGTCCACCCTCCTTGCTGGAAAGGACCCCAGCCTGTATGTAGACAGAAGGCCTCTTCTGGTGAGGGTTTCTTTCCAAAACGTTATGGTCAGTCGTGGCAATTGCATTTTGGCTTCATTAGTGCTATCTGACCACACATGGGTGACCACAGAGCAGGAAGTGGGGTTCTGCCCGTTTGGCCTGTGGAGCCTGTCCTGCTGCCCTTTGGGGACGTTCTGCCTGCGGATGGCCTTTTTGGCTCCAGATGGTGGCTGGTTCCCACAGTTTGACCAGTCGTTGTCTCTTTTTCAGGATTTTGAGCTTCGTCATTTTCTTGATCCTGTCTCTGGCCTTTATGGAGACCCCGTCCTCGTTCACCAGCACCTCGGATGTCCGCTACCGCTCGGCCCCCTGGAACCCGCCCTGCGGCCTGACGGAGGGCGTCGAGATGCTCTGCCTGCTGGTCTTCGCGGCGGACCTCTCTGTGAAGGTGAGACGAGCGCCGACAGGGCCCGAGGCCCGGGCACCCAGCCCCTCCCAGCCCGTCTGCCGCTTTTCTGACTTTTCTTTGACGCCCCTGGAGCCTTTGTTCCTGACTGTGCACTTTGAGCCGCTGAACAGGGGCCTGACTTTCTTAGAGATGCCTGGCCCTGGAGGCGAGGCTCTCGACCCTCTCCAGAGTGGAAGCGGGCGCCATCGCGGGTCCACAGCCTTGCAGGACCCCTGGGAGTGGCTGAGGGTCTGGCAGTGTCGCTGTGAGGAGACCCTGACCCAACGAGAGAGGACCGGGGGTCTCTCTCTCCCCTCCCGCCCCTGAGATAGAGAAACACAGGAGAGGAGCTGGGCGAGGGTGGGACGGGGTCTGTCCTTCGCGTGGCTGCTGCTGAGTGTCTGACTCGATTCTGTCTGTGACGCAAGTCCTTCCCGAAGCTGGAGCCAGGCCCTGCCTTGCTCACTTGAGCTTCTGATCCGTGTCAGCGCCTTCGCCACTTCCTGGGAGGCACACGGGGTTGGCTCTTGCTCCAGCCACACCCTCTCTTAGTTTGTCAAACTTCCAGAGTCCCAGAGCTCCCGTCTGGGTCCTCCGGCTGCTCCCCGCCTGCGGGCCCCGGGTCATGGGGTGCCTTTGCCCACGTGGCTGGCCGTCCTGCTGTGGGAAGGGTGGCTCAGCTCCTGGGTGCTGAGCATGAGGGGCGTGGGTGACGGAGGGCCCCGGGCAGTTTCTTATTTCTTCTTTGGTAGCCCATTATGAGGTTAGGAGGTCTTGGAGGTTTTTTAACTGGAACTGAAACTGCTGAGAAGTTCTCGTTAATGTTTTTTGGATGATTGGTATATTGGGGAAGTCCCAAAAGATGAGAGAACACACATTTTTATCTGCAAGCTGTGACCCCTGAAGGCGTTCGTGATGGTGGGAAACGGCAGGACCGGTGACAAAACCCCCCCTCCCAGGCCGCCCACCTCAGTGGGTGCAGGGACGCCCCCGAGCGGCTGTCTCCTAGTCTTTCCTAGAACCAGTCCTGTGCCTTTGCCTCTTGCTGCACAAGCTAAGTTGATGGTTGGATGGGCAGAGAAGGCAGGGACCATGTTCCGGATGCGGAAACCAAGGCTGGAGCCATTAAGTGCTGAACTCGAGGTCACTTAACTGCCTGAGGTCACTAAGGGGCTGGGTGGGGAGCTCAGCGTGCCGCACCCCGAGTCACGTGGAGACCACACTGCCTGCCCAGGAGCCCTGGCCGCCCCAGCCTCGTCCGTGTGCCCGATGGGGCTGACTGGCCACAGGGCCGGGTCCGCGTGGCCGCCCGCCCGCTCACCCACCCTCTCTCTTGCAGAGCTACCTGGTTGGGTGGGCCCAGTTCCGGAAGAACCTCTGGCTGCTGGGTTACCTTTTCGTGCTGATCGTGTCTCTCACGGACTGGATGGTGTCGCTGAGCCTCGTCTGTCAGGAGGTAGATGGTCAGGGGGCTCCGAGGTGGGAGTGGGGGTGCTCTGGGCGGGCTGCAGGGTGCAGCTGCCCTGGTGACTGGAGGCGGGGGTCCCAAGGCCCTGCAGCCACCGGCCCCCTGGCCCGCTCTGCCTGCCCCCCAGTGTGTCAGTCCCCATTATCTGGGAGCTTTGTTCCCAGCTTGCAGGTGAAGTCACTGAGGCCTGGAGAAGGCACGGGGGCTTGGGGGCCAGTGCCCCCCACTTCCCAGCTGATTCCTCTACTGCCTGGGGCCCACGAAAGCACCGCCCCAGGGCCTCCCCCTGGCCGTGTGCCCGATGCTCTGTGAGCCCCGACAGCAGCAAACCCACGTGAGCTGCCAGGCCCAAGCCTCCAACCGGAGCGCCTTTGTTTCCCCTCAGAACACCCGGCAGCAGTGCCCTGTGGTTTGGTAGAATAGAGCTGGGAAAGGGTGCGTGTGTGTGTGGTGTGCGTGTGTGTGTGTGGAGGGTGTGTGTGTGGTGTGCGTGTGTGTGTGTGGAGGGTGTGTGTGTGTGGAGGGTGTG